CTGTATCGCTCATTTTTGCTATATTATTAATAACTTTCAATCTAGTCTTCTTCATATAGCGGATAAATTTGTCTATTTGTCCTTAGTTAGCATACATTAAAATATCTTTTTAATGGTGTTCTTCAAAATAATAAACTGTTTTTTTATAACAGTCTATTTGGTTATAATTATTATTATTCTGTGATTTTAAATTAGTAGTTTTTACTTTATATAATTTTTAATTGGATTTGTTCTGAGATTTGCTTTTTTGAGTCTTTCAAAAAATTCTAAAATGCTTAATTTAACTTCTGATATGATCAACTATGTCAACTATGGTAAAATTACTTTTAAGAATTCAGTATTTTATCCATTTTCAATCAAATTTGATATTTATTTCATACTCTTACTAATTATTAACTTAAAGTTTATTTGCATTCATTAAAATCTTCATCTGTTAGAATATAGAGTAAGTAATACTATTTTAACACTTTAAAGTATTATAAATTTTTTAAAATCAATCATAATATTAGGTATGAAATAGTCTATGGAAAAATTATTTCAAATAATAAAACGTAGATACTAAATTCAGATCGTAAAAGGAATTCGTATATGCATCTTTAGTTAAAGCTCTCATAAATATTCTATCAACCTTAATATTAAATCACAAGTCGTTAAAAATATTAAGCTAAGTCTTGTAATTGGTTGCTAAATAGTCACATAGAAGAAGCAAAAATCTTAGCGATTTTTTGAGCTTGATTTTCATTCAAAAGACTGATAGGAATTATTCGATAAGTAATGATAATTTTAAATAGTGAAATATTAATATTAAATAACAATTTTAGTATTGGATAAAATTTCAATACAGATAAACACCATCATTTCATCTTTGACGAACTTACACCACTAATCAAAAAAGATAAGTGATTAACAACTAAATTACTTCTTGTGGATTCAACTCATTGGATGGTTGAAATTTCAGAGATATTGCAATCCACATTTGAATAAATAAACCAAATATTCAAAAAGAACGAAGAAATTATTAATAATGAAATGGCTAATAATAAAAGTGAGTTGAAACAGGAAAGAGATAGAATATTATACAACAACTTAGGTAAATCTATTTACATTATTATATCATAAATTTTAGAATTGAAGAAAGTAACTTAGGGATGGTATCGCTAAAGCGATTTAATCACTAAACAATGAAAGACAAATATAAACCGCCATAAATTGCCTAGGGGAAGGTAAATATAATATTACTATCTTATACTTAATAAGTTAACTATTTCAAAAGCTCATAATTATTTATCATGTTAACAAAGGAAACCCAATTTTATGGGAGACAAAAATAATGAAGCAATTGGTCTTTATGAAAAATTTGGATAATCCTTGCCTTTAAAGAGAAAACTACATAACAATGATTAGGGTGAACAAAAAATCAATAATGAAAATAAACGAATCCAAGCATAAAAAAAACATACATAGAAAACAAATAAAATTGAATATTAATAAATGAATTAATAAGCTTAAGAGAAACAAAAGTGATTATATACCACTCATCCCACAAATAATTTTCAGATAATGATACCTCAATTGATAGAGAAGAACAATTCGATGTTTAATTACTTTTTAAAAAATGCTAAAAAGGACCCTACAAGTCATAGCACTCCTATTAATAAAATCTCAAGAAGTATTATTAAGGTAAAGAACCAAAGATCAATAAAATAAATACATTTTAAAAAGGAGTGAATAAGATATGAGAAAGATAAAGTCTTAGGGCAAGGAGATATCAATCATTTGATATCCCTATTTTATAAATATATTAATAATCGCTTTATGTATACAATAATCTAATCAGAGGTATATTAGGTTCTTATTATTTAGATATTAGATAAGAATTTACTTAAGAATACTTGTTCTGATGTAAGTTATATCATTTTTATGTTCATATTAATTTTATCAATCAGATAATAATCTTCTCTATCGATCATTTCCAGTTTTATTATTATGAAATTTGAGTTCTGCTTATAAAAATAAAGTAAAGACTGGGATATTGTGTTTTACTAACTATTTATCTTAGCAATACCTTATTATTAAGACTTAAAACTACAAATTTTTCCCTTATGAATGAAATTTAAAAACAGTCCTAAGTGTATCGACAATGATTCTTATTATATATATCATTCTGAATTGCACTCATCTTAAACTTTAATTAATACTATCTTTTGCATTAAATTGTAAATTAATGCTTACTCATCTTTGGTAAACCTTTAATAAATCTAACCTTATAAAAACTATACTAAATTATTTTGAAATGCATTATAAAATATGTAAATTAATATTAAAATAAAAAGATTAGTTAAAGCTGTTCATAGAAGTTTAAATTTTAAATCTTGACAAAATACATATATTTTATAATTGAGCGTGTAAGCTACATTATGCAGAAATATTTTGGAAATAAGAAGAATTTCTTATATAAACATTATGTCAGAAAATAAATAATAGATTTGAAATATTCTTTCAACCTAACATTCATTTGTTATAATTATCAAAGTATGATAAATTAATAAACAAATATGATAAGAATGAATGTCCTTAATCAAGATTTCTTCAAAAGCAATTTAGAAAAAATATTTAACTTAAATACTTATTAACTCATTTTATTCAATTATTCAATATAAATGTGTGATGTTTAAAATCTTCAAATATTAATATCATAGATTAAAAACAAAAAATGTTGAATTTAAACTCAAAAACAATATTAAA